AGAGAAGGTCCTTCCTTTAAAAAAAGTCTCAATGAAAAGACAAACATGGTGGCGTCATGAAAGAAACGCGAAATAGTGTGGAAAAAGATTGATGACTGAGTAAATACGCAAGTAACAAATTGTCATTTTACACAGCTTTTGCCTCCCTATCACTGTACTGAATATTAAGAGCATGTATGACAATTAGTCTTATCCCCTAGATCAGAGGTCATGGATTAGCGGACCGTGGTTCGGATCCGGACTCACCCGCTGGCTAATCCGGACCCAACCTGATTTAAAACATTTATAAATTACCGCATGTCGTCCGACGGCAGTGTCTTATTTTACTTGCCCTCCGGGACCAGGCTAATTTAAGACACAGCAGGCAAACCTTTGGCCAGCCGGGCGGTGGGAGAGAAGAAGATGAGAAAAAGTGAAAGAGAGTGTGAAGTACTGCAAGAACTGCGGTGAACTGGTGACAGAAATGTGAACTGGCGTTCTCAAAGATGACCCTTCACATTTTGATTATGTTTGGCTCAACCAACTGCTGTGAAGCAGGATTGTCCACCATAAACATAATCAAAAATAAATATCGATCCAGGCTCAAAATGAGCACCTTTTATATGTGCTTGAGAATGGCTTTGTCGCCATTCAAACCCACAAAAAAATGTCAGGAAGAGGAAACCGATGATCTATTCTGCAAACAGATTTAGAATCAAACATGTGCATTTAATTTTACTGCCACATTAACTGTAAGCAATTAAAAGGGCTTTTTTACTCTGTCTTACTGATTTATGTCAACTGTCCCTCCTACATAGCAGTTTCTAGTAAATAGGACACTTAACTTGTCTACTTTCACCTCCTAATGTTTCTTTCAGTTCCCCCTCATAGCTCCTGATCTATGACCGAAAGTCCCTGATCCTCCATATAAGTTCAAGTTAAGACTGTCGGCTTGCAAAAACACTGTCTCGCATGCCAGTGTCTTAAATGACATTATTAAATGATAAATTTGCAGAAGCCATTATATGTAAATGGCTGGAGGGTCTAGCATAACAGAGAAACTGCTCAGAGATGTATATAATTAAAATACATTGACAATTTTAGGAGAGGAAAAACATACAACAGCGCAGTGTGGTGTCATGTTAAACTCAGTCCTTCCACTTCTTTAAACTGATCTGTTTCCTGCAGTCCCTCCTAGAGATTGCCAGCAGAATGCGTACAGCAGGGGGAGCAGCATACATATTTGAAACTTTCAAATACCGTACGTATGAAGGCACTATAATCCTAATTATAGAATCTACCAAAATCAAAATTTTTATTTTTTATGCTTTTGGGAGGTAGGTCCAAAAATTTTATGTTTACAGTTGAATTCAGTTCAGTTTATTTATATAGTGCCAATTCAAAACGTATGTCATCTCAAGCCACTTGAGACAGATCAATCAAATCATGAGGTCAGATTGGTTCTAAGTTTACTATCCAAGGAAATCCAGCTGATTGCATCGGCTGATTAACTCGACAGAAATCCCTCACAACTGTCAGCTCTTGCAGATTTAATGATTCAAAAGGTGGAAACTTAGGCAAAAATCCCAAAATAACAAAATACAGAAAACCAAAAAATAGAAGACATCATGGAAAACCAAAAACAGAGTCCAAAATACAAAACAACCCACCAAAGGTGGGCACGAACAAAGCACATTCTCTGGAGGCCAGTCTTGACGCCGGATTGGAAGACAAGTCCCAGGAGGATGGCCAGGAGGACGGCTTGGAGGACGGCATCTCAGTGGCAGGAACCTTGGAATCTGCTGTCTCAGCAGCAGGAACCTTGGAGAATGATGATTGTGCACAGGAGCCTACGCAGAGGTGGTGCAGCTTGAGATCCACGAAGAGAAGCCATTCTAGACTCACCAAGAGGCCCCACACATGACAAGGGAAGCTCAAGCGCCCACAGGGGATCCTTGATGGTGAGGAGTGCCCACTGGGGGGCCTTGAAGATGAACTCTCACATAGCTCCATTTTTAGGGACTAGTTCATCAGCAGTCTCAAGGGTCTCTGGTCGGCACAGACCAGGGGTCTCTGGACTGGGCAGGGTAGGCTCAGGGGTCTCTGGACAGCACAAAGCGGGCTCAGGGGTCTCTGGACTGGGCAGGGTAGGCTCAGGGATCTCTGGACAGCACAGGGTGGGCTCTGACTCAGGAGAGGGAACACTTAGTGGATCTGACCCTAAAGAGGGAACACTAAAGGCGTCTGACTGGGTAGCTAATACACTGACGGAGGAGAAACGCTAAGAGAATCTGACCATGGAGTTAGTTGTGGGTCATGGAGCTGATGGCTGAGATCACAGGGAAAACTGACCTGTCATGGCAGGGGAGTATGGTTTGAAGCAGGCTGATAGGGGAGCACTGAAACCTATGGATCTGATCCAGAAGGAAGTTAAGTTGTTCAGTAAAACAGGAATGAACCAGCCCCTCTGTGCATTCATCTATTTCACACCAGTTGCTGCTCCGTTTTTTTTATTTATTTTTTTTATCTTTCTCTCCTCTGCATCCAAGGCAGTTAAAACTGAGTCTAGGTCTGCTCCATTTTTCCCTAATTCATACTGTTAGGTTGGAATACGATGTTAAAGAAGCATTTCAATATAGTAGGCCTTTTTAAATTTGTGTGACAGGTTAGCTGAGCAGTGGTAGAATATACCACACTGTGGTTTTAAATTAGATAAAACTGGCTAAAATTACTTTCATATAAAATTTTATTAAATGTCAGAGAGAAATTATGATGCATTCTGGTCTCCACCTGTCACCATCTGTGTAACCATTTCCCCTGTCTCCAAAACATGCATATAAACCTGTATAGATGCTTAAGACTTGGCATAAGAAACCATACATACGTTTTGGGCCCTGTTTTGTGCACATGCAAGCTTTGTAAATGAGAACCCAGAATCCTTTCCAGTTCTTCAGTCCCTTTTTTTGTCTTAAGCTGGATTTCTAAAAACTAACCTTGGTTGAATATCCTGAGGGAGTCCCCAGTAGCCCATTACTAAACTGTCCAACATTATATTAATATAGTATTGAACATTCAAGCTCAGATCAATCAGTTTATGTCTGTTAGATATTGAACAAGTGATGATCAAATACAATCTGAATTTAATGAAAAAACATAAATCAATCAGTTTGAAAAAAAGACAGCATATAATGGAATCATATTTTTTCATGTATCCTGTCCTAGATGTCAAGCAAACCATATTGAGTAGGTGGTTGCATAGCTGTGCCCGGGCAGTATTACTCAGCAAAAATCCTGTTCTAAGATTGAATGCTATCTGTGGGATTAAGTTTATTTAATAAAGATTACACCTGGCATCAAAGTAGACCACAGACTTCTTTGAATTACCAACCCTTGTTTGTTTGTTTGTTTGTTGTCTATATGAGTGTGTGGGTTTCTGGAGAAAAGGGAGGAAACGTTGCAACAGTGCATAAGAGTAGCAAAGGGCATCTAGCTTTAACCGCTGTAAAGTTGACTGACTCAAAATATGACTCTTAACATTTCTGTCCTGTAAGTAGAAGACTGTTGTTGTTTTTTTCATTCACACTTTGCACCATACACTGAACACATTCCTAGTTATGTGTTGTTTTTTGCACCATGTTTTTTCTCTCACACTGTTTACATTTGATCACTGCTACACTTTATGGAATGGAAATGTTAATTTACTGTCTGATAAAAATTTAACTAAATGAAATTTTGTTTTGTATACACTCTTAGTATACAAAATGACAATAAAAATAGTCAAAGTCTAGCTGGTGTTCGTTGTTTCAGCTATGTCCGGCTTCCCAATGAGTTTACCACCCTGTGAGGCTAGCCATATTACCACTAACTAAAATTACTTAAATATAGAAAAGTCCCTCATGGTGGGGGTTTCTGTTAACTTTCAGCTCATAACCTTGTTCTTCACTAACAGATTCTCTTTCATATAATGGATCAGTCACCATGACCTAAGAGCAGAGATGGGAAGTAACAAAGTACAAATACTTCGTTACCGTACTCAAGTAGATTTTTCTAATATTTTTACTTTACTTTACTACTTATTTTTATGGCGACTTTTTACTTCTACTCCTTACATTTTTACACAAATATCTGTACTTTCTACTCCTTACATTTTTAAAAATTGGCTCGTTACTTTAGTTTTGAATCATTTCAATGGAGTTACCATTATTATTTTTCACGTCATCAATACCAAATTCAGTCTATTTGGATGGGAATCTACGTTGCATTTGACGCACACTACAAGATGAATCGACAGATTCGGCGGTATTAATTTGCGGCAAATCATTGCAGCTTGGTGGCGGTGGCGTTAGCATAGTAGTATGGACGACGAGATGATTGAAAATGAACACAACAGAGAAATGTAGGCAACGGCATGAAAAAAGTGGTTTCTACTTTTACTTTTATACTTTAAGTAAATTTACAAGCCTGTACTTTGTTACTTTTACTTGAGTAAAGAAGTTTAATCAGTACTTCCACTTTTACCAGAGTATTTTTTTAACACAAGTATCTGTACTTTTAGTCAAGTACGGAAAGTGAGTACTTTTGCCATCTCTGCCTAAGAGTCACCTCACAGATTTATTAATTTTTGCTTAATGTATAATTTTTTTCTGAATGCATAGACAAACATGACTTCATCTTACAAACAGTTTGGTAAAACAGATATAAAGTCTAATGTAAACTCCATGAAATCAATGGCGTTCTCTTCCGATCGCATGGATAATGGTGGAGGAAATTCGACAATATAAACGGGGAGAAAACATTCTATACCACACTCTTTCTATGCCTTGTTCATCAAAAAGATTGAAGAGCAATGAAGACAAGAAAACATGAAAAATCAGTGCTGAAAGTGCACTACTTTTAATATATTTCATTTCTTAATTACTTATCTTCACTAAGTTTATGGCAAGCTTGAGTCGGTTAAAAGTAACCATAAACCTTATTTACATATTTACATTAGTAAGAAAATTATAAAACTCAAAGAAACATCAAATACAATAAATGATTAATTTAACAAAATGAGGTACATTCTAAAGTTTGAATTTGGTTAAACTCATACAGCTTAGGAGGTTTGATGGGCTCTTGTGTTTCAGTAAGGGGTTATGTCCCTATCAGGGGTGTCGGTGACTTAAGGTTAATTGTTTGCGCGCCCAGTTCTTTCCATCCAGATAGGCCATGCTGGTCTTTGTCCACAGATTCGTTGGGCTGGCACAGATTCTTTTCCCTGAAAATGTTGTAAATCTTTTGAAAAAAGAAAAGAGACACAGTGTAAGTAAAAATAAGGTTCATCCTTTCATTAACCTGTTCTTTGGTGAAGATAATCATTCAACTGAAAATATTTAGGGTAGTAAAACATAATAAATTCACTGTAAAATAACATGCAGTCTGTCAAATAATCAATCCGCAAGGTCAATTCTTCAAACTTACACAACTGCATTTTGAGTGCATGATGAACTGTCTTCTTTGTAGTAGCTTTTCAGAAAGTCTCGATGAACTTTTGTCCCAGAGATTTTCAGACAACAGGTTGAGATGCCACCTTTGAATAGGAAATTGCCATCAATCATTAAAATTGCAGAAAAATCAAGGTGAAACTTGCTTGAAATCTGTGATGTTTCACTTACCTTGTGATAAGGTTCTCTGAACCATCACAAATACCAGTAAAAGCAAGATGAAGGAGATAGTCCTCATGGTGTCCTTTCTAGCAGAGATTGCTGTGATGCAAAACTTGTGCCTGAAGATGTTTTAAAGACCACCAACACATTTTGCATTCATTTAAACCTCTTGCAGTTTGAGGTTTTCCGCACCCACAGATACACACACATACGGAAAGTACAAGTAATGCTTCCTTCCACAAAAGCTCACCGGTGCAGCTCTCGCCCCTCCACTCTCCTTACTGGTGGTCTGGGGGTGTCTTAATGTTTTCCACTTTCATACAACTTTAACAATACATTTTTTTATTTGTAATTCAAGTTTATTCATAAAAATCAAACCTTACTTTTGATTTAGGGCTTTGTATAAATTATGAAAATATTGTGTATGGTAAGGGAACTTTTTAGTAGTCTCCAAATACTTAGAGCTCTGTACAATACAATCTTATTTTTTCGCCTTTGTGGGAAAATAAGATGGGATTCTAGTTATTCACAGAATAACATGCCTTCTAGAGCACATTGCTGTTTTATTACTATCACTTGATTTTAGAAAACCTTAAAGAAAAAGGCTCCTGGAATTCTTTCATTCTGCAAAAGTAATCTGGAAAAGCTCATAGCTGAAAATTTGTTAAATTAAATATTTATATTTAACTAGAAGATGTTACGTTGAATTTCTACAGCACACTCTACAGAGCAATGCTCTACTGAGTGCTTCACTTTCTAACATGGAAGCTTCCTGTTCGGTTTTGAGGTCATTGTTCCCCTATGCTACTGCTGTACTCAGCTCTGCAACCACACAGTGTGCAGACAGATCAAATGTGCCTTCCCCCTTTGTTCTCGTGGCATTACCAAGTGAATGGGATGTTTTAACATGCACAAACAGTCGTTTTTTCCCCCCAACCCCACATCGTCTGTGGTCAAAAATCATTTGTACGTGTAAGTTAAACAGTATGACATGAACTATTGAACTTATGGGCCATATGTATTTGACCGCATTCTTAAGTAAACTAATTCAATTGCTTATTAAAACAAATAGCATAATAACTAAGAAGGGTATCAAGATGTAGTGAATATGTATGAATAAGGTTCAAACTGATCATATGAATTGAAAAAAAGGGATTTGTGACACTTCCTTTGACAAGCTGATTTGAGTTTATTGTATTATTTGTAAACTGAACTTGCAGGCATTTCCATGCAAACTATTTAAAGACCTCGGGTTTAATAAGAATGTTTTAAAAAGATAAGAACAATCCTGTGTGTGGTATCAGTGGTCAGTTGAGAGTGATTAAAATTGGAGCTATTGCAGCAGAAATAATCTATCTTTGTAATTATCAGCATTTTTTGGCCTGCAAATACATACATGTAATAGTCTATGATATTCTTAGCACAGTGGAGTCCATTTGTCATGATGGGTTCTCAAATGGAGACCCAGTTATGCAGAACACCACAAGGCGGACACGAGGATAAAAGTTTAACAGTTTATTTAAGCACAAACACAGAATGTACTGGAATCTGGTTCGGGCCTGGGTCCTGGTTTCACTGGAGTCTGCGTGAGAGACAGAGCTGTTATGAACTGCTGGCAGGGTTTGGTTTTCAAGTGAGCTCAGATAGTACCTTGAGGGTTCTTGAGTTATTCTCCTTGGGGGAGTTTCTGTTGGTTCTGGAGAAGAGTTTATCAGCAGAGTCCGTAGCTGCTTCAGCGTCTCACGTCTAGCTCGTACAGACCTTGGTTTGGTTTTTCCAGCTCTAGTCCTGAGCTGCTTGGGGATTCTCAGAAAGTCTTCAGGGTTTGGCTCAGAGGGTCGGCTCGGCAGGTTAGCTCTCCTAGAGCTTTCACAGAGGAGACTCGGGTTTCCTGGGAACACAGAGAGAGAAGTTAGAATCCAATCTGGATTCAAAGTCATGGAGATTCACAAGGAGCAAGGCTTTAGCGCTGACCAACTGGAACAACACTGCGGCGTTGAGGCAAGGTCTGAAGGCAGCTTAAGTAGTGGATCCTCTGATGGTCTTGATGAGCTTCACCTGTGCAGGAGGCTCCCTCAGAGGATCCACGGCGGACTCTGCTGGAGAAAGATGGGATTTTCTCCAGCTCCCAACAGTACCCCCCCCTCAACAACCGCCCCTTGGCGGTCCGGAGGAAGTGGAAGGACAGGAACGCTCGTACTCCTCTATGAGTGCAGGGTCGAGGATGTATGAGCCAGGGACCCACTGACGATCTTCAGGTCCGTAGCCCTCCCAGTCGACGAGGTACTGCCGCATCGTGGACTCCCGTCGACTAGGTCGACGGGAGTCCACGATGCGGCGCACCGTGAAGGCCGGATGGCCATCGACCTCCAGGGCGGGTGGTGGGGAGTCGGACGGTGGGCACAGGGGGCTCGAGGAAACAGGTTTGATCTGGGAAACATGGAAAGTGGGATGGATACGGAGGGACTGGGGAAGTTGCAGACGAACAGAGGAGGGGTTGATGATGCGAGAAACCTTGAAAGGCCCAATGAATCTCGGGGAGAGTTTTCGAGACATCCCCTTGAGGGGGATGTCTCGAGTGGAGAGCCAAACTTCTTGGCCCACAGAATACTCAGGGGCGGGGCGTCTCCTAGCGTCAGCGAAACGCTTGACTGACTCGGTTGACTGGTTGAGTGTGGCGATTGTCTCCCTCCAAATCCTCTGGCAGCGACGGATGTGATGGTTAACGGACAGCACCGATATCTCTCTCTCATCTGCAGGGAAAAGAGGTGGTTGGTATCCGAGACTGACCTGGAACGGGGACTGTCCAGTGGATGCAGAACGGAGAGAGTTGTGGGCATATTCTATCCACGGGAGGTATTGACTCCAATCCACGGGGTTGTTAGAAGTGAGACAGCGGAGGGTGGATTCCAGTTGCTGGTTCATGCGTTCTGTCTGGCCGTTTGATTGAGGATGGTAACCTGAAGTGAGAGATGGTTTGCAGCCGAGAGCAGAACAGAAAGCCTTCCATACCTGCGAGATGAATTGTGGACCTCTGTCCGAAACAATCTCCTGGGGAATGCCATGAAGTCGGAAAACATGTTTTATTAACAGCTGGGCTGTCTGGAAGGCCGTGGGAAGTTTCCTGAGGGGAACCAGATGGCAGGACTTCGAGAAACGATCAACAATGGTTAAAATAGTGGACATACCTCGGGAGACAGGGAGGCCGGTGACAAAATCTATAGCTATATGAGACCATGGACGCGAGGGAACAGGAAGTGGTTGAAGCAGGCCAGAAGGAGGTTGGTGTGAGGCTTTGTTGCGGGCACAGGTGGGGCAAGCCAACACATACTCCTTAACGTCTCTGTGGAGTTTGGGCCACCAGAAGCGCCTGGAGATGAGAGCTATAGTCCTACTCACTCCTGGATGAGCGGTGAATTTGGCGGCGTGCATCCACTGGATGAGACGGGACCTGACTGAAGATGGGACATATGTACGGTTAGGCGGACCGGTACCTGGGTCTGGTTCTGTGGCTAGGGCAGAATTGATGAGGTCCGATATCTCCCAGTTGACCACTCCTATGGTACATGAAGCTGGGAGGATGGGTTCAGGTGTCTCAGGATGATCGACGGAGTAGAGACGAGAGTGAGAATCGGGCTTCACGTTCTTGGATCCGGGTCTGTAGGAAATGATAAGGTTGAAACGTGAGAAGAAGATTGACCACCTGGATTGGCGAGGATTTGCCTGTTTAGTTGACTGGATGTGAGCCAGATTCTTGTGGTCTGTCCACACGAGAACTGGATGCTCAGCTCCCTCCAGCCAATGCCTCCATTCTTCCAACGCCAGCTTAATAGCCAGGAGCTCACGGTCGCCCACGTCATAGTTCTGTTCAGCTGAAGAAAGCCTACGGGAGAAGAAAGCACAGGGGTGTATCTTTTGATCAGAGTCGAGCCTTTGGGAGAGAACCGCTCCAACTCCGGAATCGGAAGCATCCACCTCTAGGATGAACTGTTTAGCTGGATCAGGTTGAATTAGAACAGGAGCTCTGGAAAACAAGGATTTTAGTTTTTCAAATGCTGCTTGAGCCTCGGGGGTCCACTGAAAGGTTCGTTTGATGGAAGTAAGAGAGGTTAATGGAAGGGCGGTTTGACTGTAGTTTCTTATGAATCGACGATAGAAGTTAGCGAATCCTAAAAACCTCTGTAGCTGTTTTCGGTTCTCAGGGACTGGCCAGTCTAAAACAGCTTTGATCTTATCCTCAGAAGGTTTTACCTGGCCGCCCTCGAGCACAAACCCCAAAAAGGTGACTGACGGTTGATGGAATTCGCACTTCTCGGCTTTCACGAACAGCTTATTCTCCAGTAGTCTCAGTAAGACTAGGCGAACATGTCTCTTGTGTTCATTGAGGTCCTTGGAATAAATGAGAATGTCATCAATGTACACAAAAACAAACACGTTGAGGAAATCTCTGAGAACATCGTTTACTAGGGCCTGGAAACAGGCAGGAGCGTTGGTTAAACCAAAGGGCATTACCAGATATTCGAATTGGCCCAAAGGAGTCTTAAAGGCAGTTTTCCATTCATCGCCCTCTCGTATCCTCAGAAGATGATAGGCGTTTCTTAAGTCCAACTTAGTAAACACTGTAGCACCCTGTACAGGTTCAAAAGCAGAAGCAAGAAGAGGCAATGGGTATTTATTTTTAATTGTGATCTGGTTCAAACCCCGATAATCAATGCATGGCCTCAGGGAACCATCCTTCTTGCCCACGAAGAAGAAACCTGCACCCAACGGAGAGGATGAAGGACGAATAATTCCAGCAGCTAATGATTCGTTGATGTATTTCTCCATAGTTTCTCTTTCAGGCTTGGAAATGTTATACAGTCTGCTGCTTGGAAGAGGAGCACCAGGTAAAAGTTCAATGGCGCAATCGTATGGTCTGTGTGGAGGTAGGGACGTAGCACTGACCTTACTGAAGACAGGGGCTAAGTCATGGTACTCAGAGGGAACTGAAGAAAGGTCAGGAGAGTCCATCTCCCCCCCACCACTAGGAGGCCCCAACATAGGGGCAGCAGAACGAAGGCATGTTTCGTGGCACGTAGTGGACCATGATTCCAGGAGACGTTTAGTCCAGTTAATGTGAGGGTTATGCTTCTCCAACCACTCAAACCCGAGGACCAGCGGGGAACATGCAGAGGGAAAAACAAAGAAGGTTATTGTC